CCGAGAAAGAGAAATGCGAATATTAATTTCAGATCCAGTTTAAATCAAAAGGCCTATACATATTTCGTACCGGGACAGGCGTTTGTGAAACGTGGTGGAGCGTGCAGTCACGGACACTGTCACACCTGAACCCTTGGACAAGCCCCACTCCCGCCACCGCAAGTTTCCAATATGGAGGGCGAAGCATGCTTTGCGTTGTTGCCGAACTCCGCCCCCACCCCCACCGCCCCCGCTCGCATCGGGGCCATTGTTCACAGAAAGGAGAGGCGTGTCGCGGGAGCGTGAACAGGGCATCGCAGGTGACCCATCCCGCCGCGTTAACGGCACAAAATAATATTAGAGTGCCCATGTAATGAGGAGATCGTGTTCATGATATGAGGTGACATGGTGTGTGGACAGTTTAGTGACGAAGGCACTACTGGCACTTTAGATGCTTGAGTCCGGAGGTGTTTAAATCACGGATCAATTGCATTATTTTAGAAAGAGACAGAAAACAAGGAAATTGTAGTGACTTTATGTTTTCAAAAGACAACTTTCCGGGACATTAGAGGTAGGTTTTTTTAAAATAGAGGCCAAATAGGAATCAAATGACAGTTACATAAAGATTAAATTCGAAGAAAACTACTCACAAATAAATCGCAATTCATTATCAACCTTGAAAATTGGTAACTTTAGCTTGAGCTGTAACTTAATAGCAACATATTTACCAGAAATCAAGGTAACTATTACAAATGTAAATGAAATGAACTTTTGTTTTAATTTGCTGATACAATCACACTTTCAAAAAGTATATATCTTAAGAACGTGTATTAACTGAAGTGTAATAAAGCAATAATATGCAATTTTCGACATTTTTGTAGAGAAATATCAAGTTCAATATCTTTAATTTCAAACCTTTGCTTTTTTGAGCCTCAAATACATTCCTTTCTTTTATTTTGTTTATTGATTCTAGTAGATTTATAGTCGTGCACAGCCTAACACATAAGAGGGGAGAATACATTTCTGGGCCCCATTTTCTAATACATTTTATGATTAAGTATTTTACTACAAAATAAATACACGAAAAACGAAATTATAACGTGTTCTACAAGTAATAAATACAACTGATTTCCTGTGGAACCAATTACGGGGTAACGTGATGGCTCGGAAAGCTTCTAACCCAATTATATCATAATTCCCCCACATTCTCCGATTGGAAGTGAGAGGAATCAAGGATTGGGCATACTTAAGGGAAAATGTATTACGTAAGGTGATAGAGCCCCTTTCAAGACTTGTAGGGTGTAGTGCTCCCTGCCCCCCCCCCTAGGCATACGCTACGTAGGAAATCAAGGTTTCGCGTGAGCATTTTTTCTTGTCGCATCTCAATGAGTCAACATTGCACTATTTCAACTTCATAGACATTTTCTGATTCTGTGGCATTTTTAGACGTTCACTTTCCAATTTAACTGTGAGGTCTGCTATTTGCATTACCTCCTTTTTCCCTTTTCAGCAGTTTTAGCTTTCCTTTTGCGCGGTCTTTGTCTTTCTGAGTCCAATGATTTAAGCCTCTTTTTTTGCATCCCCTTTTCAGCGTTTTTTTTGTGCTTTATATTAATGTAGTATGTAGTAGTTGGTAGTAGTGGAATTAGAGATATTTTTTGTAAAATATGGATTTTTGGAAGATTACTAAAAAAGAGAAATACCTAAAAAAAGACCATCTAACAGAACTTTATCTGGAATTTATATCTCGAAAAATCATGCTTGTTCGTAAGTTAAGCTCCCAATTTGTTTGATACCGTTTTAAATTTGTTAACAGTGAAAACACCACATAACGTTGGTTGTTCTTCGAAAAGGCCACTTCCCCAGAGATGTGTTTTTTCTCGAAATTATTTATTCTATTGGCGCCCCGGGAGACTTCTGGACAGCATGCTAACTTTCAGTGGCGAGATCGCGAGTCCGATTCCCGGCCGGGGCAAAAACAGATCAGTAGGTTCCCATTATAACCGTATCAGTTTCTATTGCTATGTGATGAAAAAAAAGCTCAGGCAAGCGAAGAATGCTAGAAAGGATGAAGGAAATACGCCAAGCTCATCATATACGCCAAGCTCCCTTTACGTCCAGGCGTGGATAGTTAATACGAAGTAATACTACAACCGTACATCTTTCTCGTATCATTTCTAACATTTGCAACAGTCGAAAATTCAGAGAGCAACGAAAACGAGACATGCGTCATTATAAAATAAGTGTTCTTTGTATTATCTCTGAAAAAAAAAAAACCAACATTTTTCGTCTTTGAGAAAATGTTTGTTGAAAAGTGCATTTACCTCACGTAGAAATAACTTGAAAATTACTCATTTTTTTAAACACTGTACGTGATTTTTTTTAAAGATCTGATTCTTTGGAACAGATGTTGTTTAAGAAGAAAACCTTTATCTTCAATAGAGTAGATTTGTAATGTTAACATTTTGCAATTTTCGAAAATACAGAGTTCTTCAGAAATGACCACGGACGGACGGATAGATTTCGCCGTCAAACGATTTTTCTTTGTAAAAAAATCACAAAAAACACGGAAGTCTTTCAACACAACATTTTAGATGAAGTAATTTGCTATATATAGGAACAAGATTTACGCACTCTTTCGTCATCAGGGCCAGGCAAGAATAAGTTTTTTCCAGTCTTTTCGCCGATTTGCGGCGCACGATTTCAATTCTTTCCCTTCTGATCATTATCATTGTTATTATTATTATTATTATTATTATTATCATCATCATCATCATCCTCGAGAAGGACATGTTTTGTGGGCGTTGCGAGAGGGCCGTTGTGGATGGTCCGCTCCGGAAGTGCGAGGGCGAAGGGCGAGGGGGGGGGGCGAAGGGCGGAAGGCAAACGCGTAACTCTTGCGCTTCCGGCGCCGATATTCCTCGTCTGCGGCGGAGGGCGGCAACGCGCCGACAGTATGTGAGGGGGAGGATAAGCGAGCGGAGAAAGAGGAAAAGAGAGGAGGGGCGAAAGGCGGTGGGAGGGGCGCAGCGAGGGGTCAACGGAGCGTACTTCCCGGCCACTTCCCCTTCGCCGCCCCCCCCACG